GGGGTTTTATATGGTTGGGGATGGTTTGGCATGACTAAAGTGCATTTATTGTGAAATAATTGTGCAACTCATCATAATGCAGAATCAGTGCTCTCACCAGGGGTCTGGAGTTTCTTGCTCTCTACCCAGGCGGCCGGTCACTCCCAACTAGGGCCCCGAGCGGCCCCAGCAAACAGCCTCCTAATATGCCTGATTCGAGGGCTGCCTCTGCCTAATTGTAGCCGGCCTGGATTGCCATCGGGCATAACGAGGCAATCCAAGGAGATGGCTGGCGGCTGCGGCCTGGTCCATGGCCTGGGGGTTGGAGACTCCTGCTTGACAGCATTAAACTTACACTTCTTCGAGACTCTGCCTTAGCTACTCTACAGGTGAGCTTCCAATGTTCCCATAGATATTATTGCTGGTGTGGTGGTAAGTGATGTCCTCCTGGTCTTTATGGTAACTATACCAGTCCTGCACATCAATGTCACATAAAATAAGGTAAAGATGAGGGGGTATATAACAAGTACTAAAGAGAAGGCCAGAAATAAACTAAACTATGTTCCAGGTCTTTACCGAACCTTTGTCATACCAAGAGCAATAAAAACACCCATGTTAACGAGATCTGGAGGGAGGCCGAGTTTAAAATTATGCATAGGGCCTATGTCCCCTACTTTTTGCTGTCTGGGACTTCTTCTCCACGACCGAAAATTTCAAGTTGCCTGAAGTGCTCTCTACAGCGTCCTACTTTGACACATTGTCTGCGGTCCTGCCCTTCGGTAGCCGGTTTCTGGGAGCAAGTACACTCCTACATGGAACATGTTCTTACCTGGGCGCCACCGATTGATCCTATTCTCTATTTGTTTGCATACTTCTCTGCGTCAAAGGATGGATGGGGTCAACACTCATACAAGGGGATGGACTGGATGCATATCTGCCTTCTCACAGCGAGGAGATGCATCATGAGGCAGTCCATTAAGTCACTAGGGATCTACAACTTCTACTCCGTAGGGAAAAACTGGATGCTGAACTTCACAAGGATACTTGTACTAAAACTTTTTCCGCAGATGACTGTTTTCTGGTCAAATCCTTCTCTACCGCTGAAGTAATATCTATTGTAAAACCGTTCCAATATACAGAATGGTATCTGAAAGCGAAGTTGTCAAAAACCTTGGTGGGGCTAGAGGTGGAGTAACCAGCCGGCACTCTTCTTTACTTGATTATTGTACTATCTGGGTCTGTGACCAGTTTTGATGCTATATGCTGAAGCTCTTAGGTCCATAGCTATCTAATAGCTTAATGTCCTCTTTTTTTGTATCCCTCCTTTGTACGTATGACTATTGGACCGCAGAGATTTATCTTTGTGTTGATGTGAAAAATTTTAAATAAACTTTGTTTAAATAATAAAAAAAAAAACACCCATGTTTTGCAAGATCACTGCTCGGATGGACTAAATGCAAGGTAACTGACCTCTCAATTGGCCAACTTCATGTACCCCTACACAGTGACAACTCACTTGCCGCCTTTGAACTGTCCATACTGGCCCCTCTCTAAGAATCTAGTCACAACCGTTTGCTCAGCAGTCAGTTTCGTTTGGACTATCACGAGCCTGTGTCAATTTTACTAGCTTCCTCCCTACCACAGGATTTCACTTCTTACACCCCGAGAGGAGCAGTCATTAGCATCCCTCTCTAACTATCAGTGAGCAGCTTTTTTATTTCCTATTGTCTTCCTATTTCTGTCTGGAGGGGCAAAAATGGGACTAGGCCAGATGCTACTTGGGCTTTGTACACCCGCCTGTACTTGCCAAGTATCAGACAAGGCAAGTCACTGATTCCGCTCCGCTGTGCAATTTTAAATAAACAGGAGCTAAAATAACCACAATATTAATAAACAAAATTATCATAAACATGACATAAAATGGTACAGCATAAAATAAATGGTGCGTAACATAAGGGTGGATTA